ATTGTGTCCATTTTTGCCCCAACTGTTCAGGGTTGGACCTCTGCGGGTGTAACCAGCTGCGCTCAGCGAATCAGTTTATTTCTTAATTAAGAACTCCTTTTTTCATTCATAAATTACTTTAAACTTGGAAATATAATTTTGTTGGAGTTATAGTTTCTAAAAAAGTATTGTCATTGAAAGAGTTGACATGTTGCAATGTACATTTATTCTACATAGTTCTATAGTACCAAATCAAAAGTTTATATAAAAGAAAGAAGTCAAAGGTTTCCCATCACAGTTTAGTTACATACATTTTTTTGTACCTGAGGTCGTTGAATATAGATCATTATATAAATAAGGAAATGTGTTATGATTGCCAATGAAACAACTATCATCCATACTTACCAGTAACAAACCACATTTGCAGAGTTGAATAAAATACAGTTGATAACATTTACTTATTACTAAAAAGAAAATGCCTAACTATTTTAAACAGTATTTGAATATCAATTAAATGGTCATTTTTATAAACTTCCTGTTACAAAACTTTGAATTTTTCGAAAAACTAAGGATTTTCTTATCCAAGGAATAGATTACCTTAGCCGTATTTGGCACAATTTTTTGGAATTTTGGGTCCTCAATGCTCTTCAACTTTGTACTTGTTTGGCTTTATAACTATTTTGATCTAAGCGTCACTGACGAGTCTTATGTAGACGAAACGCGAGTCTGGCCTATTAAATTATAATCCTGGTACCTTTGATAACTAATTTGACTATAAACATAGATAAAAAAAGGTACAAACTGGACATAATGCACAAGTTCATAAACAAGTGAGAACAAGTGCCTTCATATAGTGCTCAGAATATGACATTCATAAAACTTGTTCAATATCATTAGAGAACTCTAAATCTTAAATACTGAAAGCCACCTCTGATAAGTACACTGTACTATGCAAGATAATGATATAACTGGACTAAAAATACACATAACCTGTAATTAACTGCCTTTACAGCGCTTTCACGCTTTGATTTCTATAAAATTGACAGTTGTTGCTAATATTCCACATAGTGGTACCCTGATATCGACGTACGTCAGTTTCATTTCCAACAATGACATACAAAACAAAATTGACATTATACGATATGCCCTATATGGCCAAGTAGTTGTTCAGTATAGAATACAAATGTTTAATGTTTACTCCTCGGGTTCACTGTCACTATCATCAATGACTTCCGGCTGATTAGCATCATTTGATACTCGTTCCATGAGCTCATTTTTCTTCTTTGACCTAAGAGAAGGTCTTCAGTTGCATTACTAGAATTAAGTGGTGGTCTATACTTATTACATATGGCACTGACAAAACGTGTATATTCACCAGCATACGGTATAAGGGAATTGGGTAATACTTTGTCAAGCAATCGCCACTGCTTGATTCTACCATTAACGGACTCAACAACCCAGCGGACCTTTGTTACTAGACGTGTTGTGTTACCATCTGCAACCGAAAGTTGCTTCTCGTTACGTTGAGAAAGCTTGGCATTTTAATTTGAATACCAAATTCTTCTAAGAGGTCGACATCCCCAATCAACCACAACAACATCATTTGTTTCAAACCATTCCTTAATTTTCTCTAAGTTATTTTTAAAAATTGAGTTCAAAATTTTGGAATCATTGTTTTTGCTGTTACAAAGGTAGGGTCCAATCACACTTACAATGTATCCAGTAGTAGTTACAAACATCATTGGCTTAATCAGGTTGCGGTATTTGTGCATGCTATATGTACTACGTTGAAATTTAAATTGTCCACTCTTTTGTATGTAAATATAAGTACCATCAATTACGAGTATAGCAGTTGTGTTTGTGATATCACCAAATAGTGTTTGTGCCAGTAGACGAGTGTGGTTTTGTATAACACTTTTTCTTGATACATGATCAAAACCTAAATATTTTGGTGTAAAGTGCTGTTTAACTGCATCTCTTGCGGATGATATAGCTTTCCTGATAGAATCTTTGCATATATTAAACAAAGTTGCTAATATCTTATTACACATCCCTGGACGAAGTTTGGAAAAAAATATAACAATGCATGTTCTCATGCTTCGTACTCGAGTATCTCTTATAGCTGAGTTTGGAATGTGAGAACATAAGTCTTCAAAATCAGTTATTGTTAAGCCAGTCAAATTTCGAAAATCTGTGTCATTTAAAGAAGAAGATTTATCAAAGTCAATTCTAGCGTTTTTATTTTTTTAAAGCATGTTCTCTAATTGTATCGATCAATTCAAGTAGTCCGCTGCGATTGAAGTCAGAAACAGTATACACACTTGTTATGTCGTCGTTAGCTTCTTTTGTAAAACCTTCAGTACATAAATGACGAGGACAGCACCGTGATCCGGCAGGAATAATTATATTCTTTTCCAAAAATGTGTTAAATCGTGCTTCTTGGGGAACAACCATAAGTTTTGGACCACGCTTTTTGCAAAGACAACATTGTGCATGACCTTTAATTGTTGAAGAAATAGAAAGCGATATTGACAAAGGAGAACTTAAGGTCTTTTAGGTGCGCATGCATGGTGGCATAAAATCAGGATCATTTGTATTTGTATCAGTTGTAAGAACAGTTGGTGTATTTACTTGTGCTTGCTCTTCTCTGTAGTATTTCCGTCGACAAGTATCACATATTACGTCATCATCATTAGGTAAAACAAGGAAACTCTTACTGAGAAAATTGCGCAGATTTTTATTTGCTTCTCCACAGAAAGGTCTTCTTCCAGGGTTTTTTTTTCACACAATATACATTTAAAATCTTTTCGTCCCTTTCTTATGTTGTCCATTCTGAAAAAAAAACATAAGAGGATACAATTAATATTTGGTACGTTAATGAATTCAATTGCAAAATCTATTCAACTCCTTAACAATTTCATTGCAATCTGTTTTTGTTAAATATATATGTGTTAACTGTATTGCAAAATCTAACGTTAGCCTGTGCTAAAAGAATATTGGTGAAATAACATGATTAAATTTAATAATTATTATTGTAAAGAAGAGAATAGATATAACCGTTTATGAATATAGGCGGAATACATTTTACAATGTGTTGTGCAGAATAGTCATATTAAATGGGGAGGCGAATAAATAAGACAGCAAACCAACTACAGAGAATACCAGAACATTTTCGACATAAGACAAGCCCGGCACTGTAATGACTGTTCAACATAAATTGCTTTTTTAAGTAACAGTCATGTTGAGGTTTTATGTTTGATGTTTGTTATTCACATCACACAAAATTTAGATCAAATATAATAAATTCCTTTGAAGATGAAACATGCCAGTGCATCACATGAAATTTTCATAAGATTTTCCATAGTAGAAATAACATTCTAAGTTGTCAAATTCATTGATGTATTTGGTTATATGAATAAAATGATAAATATGAGATTTTGATTCATAAACGGACGGAACAATATTATTTCGTTTTCATTTCTTTACTACTTATTTACGATTCAACTAAATTGTTTATATCATTGATATGGCCATTTAATAATTGTTGATTATGTCATGGTCTAAATTATTTTTGTTTTACCAAACAGACGTGCAAAATGAAAATGAAGTTTTCGTCTGCTGTGCCGTGGAATTTTATACGTGTTTTGTAATCTGTGTTCCGTTTTAAATACTTAATTTTGAATAACTTTGAAGCAATTAATAGAAAATAAATCATAGAATTAAAATTTTGCTTTTTTTTTCGATTTTTCTTAGAGATAATAATATGAAAAGATGGAAGAACTTTTTACGTGACATGTTCATGGTGTAGTTTATGCATAACTTACCTTTCACGGAGTACGAATTCCACCATTTTCAAAAATATGATCACATCTTTTAAATTATATTAAGTTCTTTCAATTCTGTCTGGTAATATTAAGTATTTAACGAATGATACGCTGATTTCTATTCCGCTATAAAAAGCTTCTTAACAACAGCACCAGTAAAATTCCGTGCGTCAGTTCCGTAATCGCTTACAACAAATATACGCAAGTGCTAGGCTATGCTTGAGAGGCTATGTTATACCAAAAAAATGAAGACAAACACTTTGTTATTTACTATCTATAGCCAAACTTTATTGTAATCAACCATTGACAAAAAATTCTGTTAAAAAAATACATCTGTTCCTGGTCAACTCTTATTCTGACAAAATTTGCGTACCGGTATATATGAAAAACGGACGATAATTTTAGATTTTTGATGCCGGTTTGAGCAAGTTTTTAATTGAAATTCAGTATGAGCGCAACTTTGCCCCATGAAAATATTTCAACATAAGATGCTTTTTGTTGATATTATTGCTCTGACAAAATATTTTGTTGGGGCAAGAATGCGCTGGTACTTTTTCCGTAAAAAAACTTAGTGAAAATGACTAAAAAATTGCGAAATCCAGCAAATATGCATGTGAAGTGATATCAAAACACGGCATTGTGACGTCATAACTACAAAAAAAACATTTTTTTCATAAAATGAATATGTCCATCGCAAAAAGAAAGCCATACACATACGAATAAGTAGAATTTGAAAAATTCTCGAAATTGAGGCCGATATTAGCCATTATAGCCCCTTCTCCTTTTCATTTATTGTCTAAAAGAAATGCACTATGAAATAACTCTGTTTTCAGGCCAAATGCAAAAGTCAAAAATGTAGGTTTTAAGTCTGCAGTAATTTCAAATTTCCGCTTTAAATATTCAAGTTTTCTACAATAAACCCATGTAATTTTGAAACTGCTATATATGGTAAGATGTGTTGCATTATATGTGTTGTTAACATTGATTTTAGTCATTACTATCTTGATTGATTATACTTATTGGTAAGCTGGAGCAGTACTTAATATGAATATGAAGTAAGTATCAATCAATCAAAAAATAGCCATTTTAATGTATATGCTATATTATTTTGTTTCTGTCATGCAACTCATTCTTGAAAATTTTTTGGCAAACAGATATACATTTTGCACTTTCCTTTTATTTTTTTTTATATTGCAGATTTAATATTGGAGGTTGAAAGGGAACAATTCGAACTGGAAAGATAAAAGTTGGTTATAGAAAAAGATAGATTTCTTTTAAAAAGGAAAAGTTGAAAATGCTGAAAGATGCCATGCAAATTAAAAAAAAGGACTCTTCAATTGTTAGAAGAATATGTGGACTTTAAGAAATTAAAATTTACACATGATTCAGATGTTTGTGACCTTTCGCCAATTATTAAGTTTTAATATTTTTCATCAGCAAAATATATGTATGACTAAAATCTATTGTGGGTCAGATCTATCACAGATTTCTAATCTATGATAAATATAACGTCAATGCAGTCCAATCTATGGCAGATTTTTTAGAATCTTAATCTTTTGCATTTTTTAGTTTTCCAATCTATGGCAATTTGTTAGTTTCTTATTCTATGACATAACCATTTGTGAAAATAAATAGCCTTTAGGCATGAAATAATTTGACCCGGAAGAATAAGCATTTCTTACTCATGATGCATGGTACCTGTTTGACCCGTCTATTAACCAAGTACCTAAACAACATGAAACGCAGGAATTTGCCATATATCTGGAACCAACCATAGATTTGAGTCATACATATTTGACACGATATAGCGTTAAATTTTATGCTCTGTTTAAAATTCATTTTTACGTTGAAATTATTATCCACCAAAATTTACCATTAGTTCAAATATGAATATGTATACTTCTCAAATACATTTTCAAATGTGAATATTTTCTTACTTTCTCTCTTTAGCATAAATAAAGATTGCCAAATGTATCATTTTTAAGACATGAAAAAGTTTCCTCATTAATCTATCAGGTATCAACTCTGTTATTGATTTATAATTGTGGAGCATAAGATTTATCCTTTTATTAAATTTTGAATGAAAGTGATATCACCACTAACCTTTATTATGTTTATAAACAATTAATATATTAAAAATTTATAAATTGAATCAATTCTGTTTCACCAAAATAGAGCATTACATTCTTATTATTTCAAATTAACTTTATACAGATAAAAAGGATAAGGAAATAATAAAGAAAAATCTATAAGTTTTCATAGGATGTTGTCTCCAATCATTAAAATGATAAATGACAAATAAACCAAAAATATGAAAGCTGAAAAACAAATTTAAATTGACAAAGTTGAAATTGAAACTTTAGAAAATGAAACGCAGTTTTGTCAAAAGATAGCAAAATTTTTAAAAAGATTTTATATAATGTTACTGAAAAACCAAATTTTCATTCAAATTTGTTAATTGTGAATTATTGAGTGCATGCAATGAAACATAATGGTAAAAATTGACATTTCTGTTATAAAAAAATATTTGAAAAATGTTATAAATATATATTTCTGGGGAAAAACAGAAACATTTATCTGTACATCAAAAAACTTTTTTTTTAATTTTCATGAATCATATTTTCATATAGGCATTAGTAGAAATATTTAATTAAAATTTCAGAATTCGCTAAATAATTTGTCAGCTAAGACCTATATCACACCTTGTCTTTTCAGGTCCAGTAACATACAAAACTATATCAAATGTAAAATTAGGATTCCCAGTGTTCAAATTCAGTTAAAAAAAAGTAACCTTTTTCAGTTTTATACAGTACGTTTATATAATAATTTAATGATTTATCTGTTTGATTTTCCAAAATATTAAGTTTTTTAGGCAAATCTTTGAATAATGCGTTCTCTAAGGGTTTGAACATTAGCAGGTGCAATATCTCTAACAATATGGTTATCTCCATTGTCAATAAATTCATCTGTTAAATCTGGAAGTGGCAGTTTATCATCAATACACTTCTTGTTTAATTTAAAAACAGCTGTCACAACTATTGCAGATCTTTCAGGTGTAAATGGTAAACATCCTCCAGTTTTATGCAAACACCTGTAATAAAAAAATATCAATATTTTTTACATTGGAAATTGTTGTGTACAAATATCAACTGACAATACTTCAGTGTATTTTGCACATAAAAAGATGAAAATTGTATGAATGTCAATGAGACAACTCTACATCCAAGACACAATGTAGTTATATTAAGCAATTACAGGTAACAATACAACTACCTCAATAAGGAGCCTTGGTGCACACCGAACAGCAAGCTATGGAGGGCCTCAAAATGACCAGTGTGTATTTATATGTTTTCTTTAATTAATATATTCAACCTAAAATAGTAGAGGGGCATTATGTTTCTGGTCTGCGTCCAACCATCAGCAGATCAGGTTAAATTTTTTGGTCAGGTAGTTTGATGAAGATGAATTCACATCAACTTGATACTTAGTACACATTTTCCGTTCCTTTTGATAGGGTCTTTCTAAATTGTAAGCTAAATCATTTTAGCTTTTTTTACCCCAATGTTACAGTTCATTGAACTTGGAAATATGATAGTGTTAAAACAGTACATTTTCAGGTAAATGTTTTTGGTCAGGTAGTTTATGATGATGTAAAATTCACATTTAACAGTAACTTAGTACATATGTTCCTTATAATAAGGTCTTTCTAAATTTGTTTAATGTTTATTTAAAATACATGCAACATATATTGACAAAATGTCTAAAATTGTGATTCCTTTATTTAAAAAATAACTATTCTTTTTAAATACCTATATCGTGACTTGCACTCACCAAAAGCCTGCTCCACTATGGTTCGTGTCTTGGCATGAGCCTTGTTGTATTTCTCCTCTGCAGGAGAGCTTGGATTCAATTTTGGTGTTAGTAGATAACCCTTAAGTGCGTAACCCGAATCCCCAAGCAGCAATCCATCTACTTGGGTTTCTTCAAAGAAGTAACCCAATTCAGAATTACAAAACATGAATGAATCATGCACACTCCCGGGAAATTTGGCAACAAGATTGGTAAATCTGAAAAATAAAATTCTGCTGAGAGAATAAAAAAATGTAGCGCCCCACCTCCTCCTCTTCAAAAATTTCACATTTTATACCCCCCAAAAATCAAAGTTTTTTGGGTGGGTATATAGGAATCACCCTGTCCGTCTGTCTGTCTGTCTGTCTTGTAAGCACAACTCCTCCTTAAGGGATGGACGAAACTTTAATCAGTTGTAGTGCACAACCTGAGGATGTGCTTGAAGGAAGATATTTCTGGTCGGAATTATTTCAAGGGAGATAATTGAATTTACTTAATTTTAATATAGCAATAAATGGCAACAGGTCTTGTAAGCGCAACTACTCCTTAACAGATCAATCAATATTGATGAAACTTTATACAGTATGAGTACCAATGAGACAAAACTAACTTGATTTCTAAATGTTCCAAGGCTGATCACTACCTTTTTTGATACACAAAATATAGTGCATTGATCATAACATTCTATACATACTATCCAGAAATTTATCGATGTAATATATGCTCAGATATTCAAGGCACAAAATGATGTTTCACCTGCCAAGAAAATTACATAACTTTTGCAAGGTGCAGGAATCTAAAATCTGTTCTAAAAATATAAATTATGTCATTGTTAAACCTCATCTTTAATAAAATTGGAGTCATCTTCCTTTGTCTAGAATAACTGTTAAATTAACAACAACCAATGCAATATTTAATTTTACTTCCCACTTATAAATTGAAGCAATCTTTACCGTTCAGTGCTTTCAAGCACTTTGATTAAGTTTACCACTTACATTACATTTGATGACATAGGTATCGACAATACTTGTTTAAAGACTTTTATTCAAGCCTGTAAAAGGGTTGCCATAAGGGGCATCTGTGTTTAAAGTTAGATTTGTTTTGATGCAGCTATATATGTAGTGATGCAGATCCAACCACAGAACTGGTGTTGTTTGAAAAAGACTAAATATAGTTTAATTGCTATTACATGTACGTCTAACACAACAACATGTATATTATCAACGTTTGTTCATTGTACGGATTTGACATTGCAGTAAAGAAAGTTTTAAAAAACAAGAGAGATAACGAATGAAAGTAAAACCATATGTGAGCCCCACTTCCTGATTGATGTACGCAATAACCAAAAAAGCAAATGTCAGACAAAAAAATATCCAGAAAGTTGTAAATATAAGACTATTTGTGTTTCTGTTTTCACTTACCTCATCTCGTGATCCACAACTGCTTGGATGTTTAGGGAATGATACCCCTTACGGCAAACATATACTGGCTCATTTTCCTTTGGAGCAATAATCGGGATCAGCGTCCCATCCACAGCACCAATGACATTTGGGACCTTTGCTATATTGTAAAAACCCTTTTTGATTTTACTTAATTCTGCTTTCGTTGTTGGAAATTTAATATTGTCAATATCACGGACTATGGCATGAGAAACCCTCATGACACATCTTGACACGCTGGCTCGAGAAATTCCATGAAGATCGCCAACTTCAGAATGAAAGTCCCCCTTGGCATAGTATCGAAAAGAAACTAACACCTGAAAGAATATAATGTTAGATTTAAGACTCATAGAATTTACAATAGCATTCAAATAAGCCACAACTTAATACAATTCTGCTTATTTTTAGTCATATCATATGAAATATAAGATTGATTTATCATACAGAAATGTCACGGTTTTTGTCTCGCCTTGACGGAGTCAAAAAGCGAGACATAGGTATGCTGTTTCCGGCGACGGCGGCGGCGGCGTCAACAATGTATTAGTTTGTGATTAGGTCTAGTTCATGGTGAACCACTAGTGGTAGGTCAATGATATTTGGTATGCAGTTGTATTAGCATTGGCACATCTCAATATCATAGAGATTATTTGGCCCCGCCCCCTCAGTCAAGGTCTATTGACTTTGAAACTTTTCATAGTTTACATGTATAAGTTTGTGATTAGGTCAATTTATGGGGAACCACTAGTGGTAGGTCAATGATATTTGGTATGCAGTTGTATAAGCATTGGGATATCTCATTTCCATGGAGATTATTTGGCTCCACCCCCTTAGTCATGGTCTATAGACTTTGAAAATTTTGCTAATTTAACATGTATTAGTTTGTGATTAGGTCAGTTCAAGGGGAACCATTAGTGGTAGGCCAATGTTAATTGGTGTTCAGTTGTATATAAGCATTAGCACATCTCATTTCCATGGAGAATATTTGGCCCCGCCCCCTCAGTCATGGTCTATTTACTTTGAAACTTTTGCTTAGTTTACATGTATTAGTTTGTGATTAGATCAGTTTAAAATGAACTGCTAATGTTAAGTCAATGATATTTGGTATGCAAATTTATTGGCATTTGCAAGGATCGTTTCCATGGAGATTATATAGCCCCACCCCTGATCATGGTTCATTGACTTTGAAAATTTTACATAGTTTACAAGTTAATGTTTGTGTTTAGGTTTGTTTAAAGGGAACGACTTATAATAAGTCAATGGTATTTGGTATGCAGTTGTATTAGCATTGGCACATCTCATTCCATGGAGATTGTTTAGCCATGTACCTTCAGTCATGGTTCATCGACTTTGAATATTTGCATAACTTAATTACATGTTAAAGTATTGCTATTTTAATTTCAACATTTGCATTATCAAAATTACAAAAAGGCGAGACATATCTCTGTGATGACACTTTATCTTGATACATTTAAGCAGTCCGACTCTAAAACTTCTTTAATGTGCTTACTCAGTCTAAAAGGTTTGATTTAATCATGACCCCATTTCTATAGTTCAGTGGTCAACGTTTATTTTGGTTTATAATTTAATCCATTTTTGTATCGCATTGACAGAGTCAAAATGCTAGACTTGGGTATGCTGTTTAAGAAGGCGAAATCGGCACCAGTAAGATGATACATATTGTTATTTGAAGAAAATGAATCTTTTTTTCGATCTAAGATGGTTAAAAAGAAGCACCTCAAAGGTCTTATAACCAATTCATCAATGCAAAACTATTCAATGATGGTTGGACTGTCGGTCGACTCGTTCGTAGGTGCATGCGGGTTCATCGGACACAAACAAATAACTATGCATATCAATCAATATCCGTGGTAAGATTGTTGTTCCAATTCCATATACTAGTGAGCGCCTTGATCTCTTTTGATTAGGGTAAATCATGGTTAATTGAATGCATAATTAAGAAACTTATTTTTGTGAGACAAAATTTACTACAAAAGTTCGTTAAAATTTCGTTGTCTTGACTGTGCCTTCGAGTATAAAGATACTAAGCTCTGGTATACGAGATCCGAGGGTCGCTTATGGCCCCCAGCAGGTCCAGGACAGCGCCCGGGGAAGTCTGGGGGTGAAGCCTCAGATATTTAGCAAACAGAGAGGGTAATTTTGAAGTTGAAGTATGCACAGCTGAGTGTTTTGCTATATATCAAATCAAAGACCTGAAACTGACTAAAAAAATCTAAAAACTTTGCAATGCTCGCCAATTTATTATGCTTCAGAGAAAGAAAGGGCTAGAGAACGTCTGGATCATCTCATGACATATATATGTTAACATACGAAAACAAAGCAATTAAAACAATCAATTTTTAATTTGGTGACATATGAATGTGACGTTCGTAAGTAAGACTGAAGTTAACAACCGAGGTCCTTTAGGAGAGTAACATTTTCCTTTGCCTGGCATTGTTAAACGTGTCAACAACTTCTTTAGTGTCAATGTCAAAATTAAAATGAACGTACAGCAGTGCAAGTGCATGAAGAAAGTCTTTCTCGTCCCATGGTCGATCTCAGATACGTTTTTACGCGTTTCAGAGCGCTGAAAGAGCGTTCTGCAGTAGCGGATGAGGGTGGCATGGTGAGAAGTATTTGCAGAATACAGAATATATTTGGGTCAAGTTCTTTCCGCGTCATCTCCAATGTTGCACAGAGTTGGTCTGGTTTCTTAGATGGATAAATATCCCATCACGCAACCCATCTTTTAATTTCGAGAAGAAACTGCAATTTTGTTTGTGCACGCAAGTGCGTCGTTGCGTCAATGGTAGCTACGCCACTGTTATACTATAAGCAGTAGTCAGTTGATCAGTTTTTCGTGGTTTGTTCAGTGTTTAGATGCTATGTTAAACAAAAGACCAACTATATAATATGTTTTAAAAGTTCATTGTCATCTGAGGGGTCATACATTATGATGTACATGTCAGTCTCGCAGGTTTTGTTTGACCTTGACCTCATTTTCACGGTTCATTTCTCAGTGTTAACTTTTTGTGTTTTGGTCTGTTTTTCTTCAACTATAAGCAAAATATCAATAGATATAAGAAGATGTGGTATGAGTGCCAATGAGACAACTCTCCATCCAAGTAAAAATTTATAAAAGTAAACCATTATAGGTTAGTTTATAACGATTTTATTTGCTCATAGATACAAAAAGGATCGTACACAAGTTTAACCAACTTATGAAGTCTTCTCCTTTACATAATATTACAATAACAATTATACAGAGCATGCACAGTTCAGTATATATATATTAAAGGTAATAGTAAAATGAGGCATTTGGACAGTCAGAGAAGAAAAAGAAAGAAAGAAAAAAAAAAAGCCTAACGCAATTAACAAGGAAAAGGATAGAGAATTGAGAAAAAGAAAAGAAAAGAAAAAATATAAATAAAAGAAAAAAAAGAAAAAATAGGAAATAATACAAATATAAAGAAAAAAAATA